CCCTACATTCTATACATTCATCTGTTTCACATTTCCTTAATGAAAACAATCTTTTATTTAACCCAATATGATCAAATCTTATTATCTTATTTCTTTTTTTTATTATTTCCTTAGCTTCTCCTTTCCCATAAAGTATGTTTATAACATTATTTGTCCTAATTGACTTTTTAGCTATTTGGTCTCCTCTTTCATTTCCATTTATTCCTACATGGGCTGAAATCCAACTAAATTTACATTAATATAAAGTTTTTGTATTCTGAATAAACTTTGATGAATTTTTCATAATAAATCTTCTCTTCCTGATTTCATATTTTGGATACTGTGAAGGGCTGCCAAAGAATCAACACAACAAACTACTTCCTCCTTCTTCCTCTATCCATTATAGTCCTTAAATCATCGCCTACGCCATAATTTCTGCTGTGTACAATGACATCTGATCAGGTAATCTCCTCCAAATGCTTACCTGCAATATTGAAATGTATATTCCTATACCTACTGTATATTTTCCACCTTTAGATCTATCTCTTTAAATATCTAAATAGCTATAATATTTGGTTCTTATACAATGTTTTGCCAGTTGACCTTTCCCTCAGTCTTCCCACTCTTTTTAAATTTCATTATATTAAAATCTATCTCAGTATTTGGAAATAACCAAATCAAGATATTACTAATAGGTCTAGGTGACAAAAAACATACATTTCCTATTTTATATTCGTCTGATTTATTTTTGTTGTCCATTCAAACCCATTACCGTTAAAAGAATTATATTCCCAACACCCCAGTATAATATTTTTTGGCTTGTTTTCATTTCCACATCCATGTAAATGAAAGCAGTACATAAGCATGAGCTGATCTGTTCTTAAATCTAATGGCACTTTTTCTAACTCTAATTGTGTTGATCTTATTGCACCAGTACAAATTCTCATTGCTTTATTAATTACTCTTTCCCATAGTCCATTGTTGATCTCATTACAGCCTGATAGTTATGCACCAATGACTGTATCCTTCCTCCCCATTCTTTTCCTGCTACTGCTCTCATGAGATTTATGATTTTCTTACATTTCGTCTCTATTTTTTCTATATGTTCCTTTTTGGTCTAATCATATATCCAGATATGAAAAAATAATTACTGTCTAGATTTTGTGACCATATAATTCCATACTCTGTTCATCTACCTTTTTCTTTTTTGTACATATCATATAACAAGATTTACTTGACGAGACCTTAAAGCCCCATTTATGCATTTATGACCATTATTCAATTTGTCTTTTTGTCTGCTTTGTTTCTTACTGTTATGGAATCTCGTCCTGTTGTCCAAATGGCCCCATAATCAGCATGCAGCTGAACCAATCCTTCTATACAAATTCATGAAAATATAATCAATCATTATATTAAATAACACTAAACTAGTAACTCTTCTTTGTGGGATACCATTGTTTAATTCAAATTGTTTCCAGATTTCAGATCCTACTTTAACTCTAATTCTTCTTTCTGTTAGAAAATCTACAACCTAGTTAAAAATGTTCCTCTCATTCCCATCAGATTTTGCTTAATTAATAATCCTTTCCACCACATTTAATCATAAGTCTTTTCTATACCTAAGAACACAATGCTCATTATTGTTTTCATTTTAAATGCTTTTTCCATTACATAACTTACTTTCACCTCTCAGCATCTATGGTAGAACGTCTTTTTCCATTCCTACTTTGATACGGTGCATATAGTCCCTTTTTTCTCAAAAGTATAATTTAGATTTCTTACTAGAATTTTCTCCATCTACATAAATAAGATGTTAGGGCAAAAGGTCTATAACTTCCAACATTATTAGGATTTTTACCTTATTAAATGGCAATATTCACACACTTTTCCATTTTTTTTAGCATTCTACCTTCTTTCTAAATTTAATTAAACGGTATTATAATCTCAAGTAGCATACTTTCTCAGATCATTTTTGAAACATGATATAACTTATCTTCTCCTGTAGCATTATTTCTGATACTTAAGTTGTTCTTCTTCTTGCATTTTTATTTGCTTTTGATGTACATTACCGCTATCCTCCAACAGGGATTGCAGGATGGGAAGGCACCAGCAGTTCTCTCTAAATTCTATTAAATAATCCCATGGATCTTAAAAATATAAATAAGCCCTTATAACAATAATAAGGCCGGTCCATTGCCTGCTTATATTTCATTGATTAAAAAAGGAATATTCTAAAAATGTTGCTTTAGATTACGTCCTCTGGTCTTTATACTTAATGCAATGGATAATGACACATTCTACAGTTCTTATTCTCCACAATAGTTTACTGTTTTCTTATAATGCATAGTTTACTGTTTAGTCCTGTGTGCCCAAGTCCCAAAAGGGACATAATTGCTTCTTCCTTTTGATTTTTGATTTCCAAGATCATGATTCTCCTACTTTCCTCTGTAATCTAAAGCAAAATTACCTTTTCATTTCTTGTTCCCAACTTCCCTGCTTCTATAGATTTTATCAACACATTGTTGTACTTAATACTAATGCAAAACTGAGTATTTTGTGGTGGTATTTTAGCATATATATCTGCCAGCTCATACTTCCCTTCTGCTTTAGATAAAGAGCTGCAAATCTATATCAGGTTCGTTAAATAACCATGGAGTAGGGTGTATTACTAACACTCCCACACGTTTAAAGTTGTTTATTCTCTCTTAACATAGATGGCTCCCTTCACGCCCCTCTCAAACCACCTATTTTCTTTATCAAGAATGTGAACATTCTGGTCCTCAAAAGAATGTCTCTTAACATAGATGGCTTTCTTCATGCTCCTCCCATACCACCTATTTTCTTTATGCAGACTGTGAACATTCTGGTCCTCAAAAGAATGTCTCTCTTAACATAGAGGGCTTTCTTCATGCTCCTCTCATACCACCTATTTTCTTTATGCAGAATGTGAACATTCTGGTCCTCAAAAGAATGTCCTTTGTCCGCAAGGTTTAGATGTACTGCGGAGTCTTGTCCAGAGGAGGCCGCTCTTCAGTGTTGGGCCATGCGTCTGTGGAGAGGTTGTTTGGTTTCTCCAATATAAAGATCAGAGCATTCCTCGCTACACTGAACAGCATGGAAGGCTCCATGCTATCCAGAATGCTCTGGATGTCAGATTTACCAAATAACTTATTGTTATATAGAATTTGTAATAATGAACAAGAATCTGAAAAAATTGTATTACCTGATTTCCTCTAGCCAGGGAACTGCTAAAAAGTAGTTGTCTGTATACACTGATAGGCAATCACTAACCCTATTACTCTAAGAAACACAAGATTCTGAAATAATAAACACTATACCAGTTTTGTTATCCAAGTCTTTCGATGCATCTGTGTTAATCTGAATATAACTATTTATTATCAATATTATTATGTATAGCTTCTAAAATGAACCCTTTAACTTTCTGAATGGTCAGACTTTTTCATGCAATAAAGCCAGTATAAAAACAACAGATTCACTTGGAAATAGTTAAGGGGTTACATGTCATGACTAACACTAGGTGACATCTAATAAGTAGTTTTGAGTGCAGGAATTTCCATAGCCAAAATTTGTTGTGTACAAAAAAAACAGTTTGACTCAATTAAAAAAAATCCAAAACAATGATTAAAATCAAACCACTCACTGCATAAATTATGAAAGTAAATCAGACAGAAACATAATTGGGCACCATCATTTGATTTGTTACATTTTGAGAAAGTCTGGTTTATTTATACAGAATAAAGGTATACGTAAAATAAAATGTTTCAAAATACAGTTTACATATATAAACCGTTCATTCAACTAAAAATCGAAGAAAAAAAAAAGAAAAACAATATATGATACGCATAAGCATGAAAAAAATATGTTTGTAAACATACTCAAAGATATATTCCACAGGTAGTGATTATTTTCAAAGGGATTAAACACCTAGCAGCATTTTAGAAGACATATAATAAAGGTATTAGTATTTCTATACCTTATGTACATTACTGCATGCATAAAGTCATAAAATATAGTGCAAAGTTGTGTGCATTTGAGCTTCCTCTCATGTATCCACAATTATTGGAATGGGGGAAGAACAATAAATATAGTTCCAAATAAACTGACTCGTAATTAACTCCATTTATGAATGAAACCCCATTGATCCACATATCCGAAGAAACAAACAAATAAGTCAATGCAAGTAGTTATTTGTAATAAAATGAAATGACACCTGGAATGACTCATGGAAGAAAATAAGATGTAAAAAGGTATGGACAACCAAGGATCCATCCCAAATCTGACAGTACTTTTAACCAAAGCATTTAGCCCCTCTTAGTGGAAGTTTAAATCAATGTAAGTAGCAATGTTTCAATGCTTAATGTTTGACAGTAGGACCTTGTGGCCTTATCTCTCATTTCTGACAGAGGAGGAGAAACAAAAAATAGACCCCCCCC